AAGAGCAATTCGTCACTTTTATAAGCCCAGAAAATACCAGACTGATTTTCTCATAAAGATCCTGCCATCAGTTAAATGGATAAACAATTAGTGTACGAATAAAAAACAGCCCTGCAGTTAGTGGTAGTAACGTGCCCATTGTTTGTAGACATAATTGGATTGATGGACCTCAGTCATGACACTGTAAACACCAGTTATGCCAGAATGTATATATCCTAAGATACCTCATTTGTCCTAGGTATGTTTTTGGGTTTTCAAGCTGTGTTCTGGGGAAACCCAAGTAGCAGACCATTGTACAAGTTCATGGTGCATGTGGGTGGATGGGGGTAGATTGTATGGCAAGGATCAACTTACAACTTACGGACCAGGTGTGCTGAACATTTCCATGGGGTCTGTTTTTTTTTTTTTAATTTATTAATTTTTTTTTTTTTGCCATGTTGAGGTCTTCATTGCTGTGTGCAGACTTTCTCTGGCTGTGGCGGGCGGGGGCTTCTCTCCAGTTGCTGCTCACAGGCTTCTCATTGCGGCAGCTTCTCTTGATGCAGAGCACAGGCTCTAGGCATGCAAGCTATACATAAACACACAATATTATTTTTCAGATTCCTTTCCCTCATAGGTCATTATACGATATGAGTATAGTCCCCTAAGGTATACAGGTTTTTTGTTGTTATTGTTGTTGTTGTTTTTAAGTCGCCAGTCATGTCTGACTCTTTGTGACCCCATGAACTATTTATTATATATAGATAGATAGAAAGATAAATATATATATAGTGTGTGTGTATCTGTTATTCCCAAACTCCTGATTTGTCCATTCCCCCTTTCCCATTTAGTAACCCTAAGTTTGTTTTCTGTGTCTGTGAGTCTATTTCTCTTCTCTTTTGTATATAAAGTTCATTTCTATCTTTTTTAAAAAATTTCTACATGTGAGTGATATCATAATATATATATATATATATATATATAATCACATATCATATACCATGTGATTAGATAAGCTTTAATTTGAGGAAGCAGTCTATGGCTAAATATAAATTTGAATACTACTGTGCTATGTAAGTAAAAGACTTTTAGAAGCTAACGTAGTTGTTTTTCAAATTAATAAAGACCTTTTCCTTTATGTGCCACAGTTAACCACTAGGAAGAAAAAAAAAAAAGCTGCCCCAAGTCTTTTTTCAAAACCTCTGCAGCATATTGCATTTTCTTCCAATCATTTTTAAAGAATATGTATGTTTGTGATTTCTTTTTTTGTTGTTTTTACAAATTTATGATTGCACTAAACACACAGTTTTGCAGCTTGACTCTTTCATGCATTATGAGCATTTTCAGTATTTTCACTAGTTGAAATCATGACCTTTAGTGCTGTACAATATTAAATTGAATTATTGAATCATGATTTATTTAAAGAGAGCTCTGCCATAGTTTTTTTCTCTCTCTTTTTTGCAACTAAAAATAGTTTATTGTGTTTAAATCCTTGTTTGTAGCCCTAATAATTTTCTTCGGCAAATTCTTGAGATCACAATTACAAGAGCAAAAGGCTTACTATCTTTAAGCCTGTCAGATGGAGATAATATTAGGAAGAAAATTAAAGCAGGACACAGGCAGTGAGAGGGCCTTGCTATATTAGAGAAGGGTTGTCAGGCAAGACCTCTCTAAGGAGGCAGCATTTGATTAGAGACCTGAATGAAAGGTGGAATTGAGCCTTTGGGACACTTTCAGGCGAGGCCTTCCGGGCAGAAAGCAGAGGAAGGAGCAGGTGTTAAGGCCCTGAGGGGTAGGACCTTGCTTTGAGTTTTCTAGAACAGGAAGGAGTCCAGCAGGGCTGGAGTAGAGTGCGCAGAGGTTACTCGGGGACTCTAAGGTGGGAGGTTAACTAGGGGGCAGACCAAGAAGGGCTTTCTGAGCCATGGTAAGGATGTGCAGTTTTGTTCTTAGTGGAGTTCAAAGTTGTAGAAGGATTTGGGCCCAGAAAAGGATATGACCTAATCCCTTCGTGGAGAATCCACGATGGAGGCAGCAATGGAAGCCCCAGACAGACCATAGTTGAGAGGCTCTTAGTGTCTTCCAGAAAGGAGATAATCATAGAGCAGCAATAGCAGAAATGCCTGGTACTCTGTAAGTTAAATTAAAAACATACTGTATGTGTGTGCGTGCCTGTGTACATTTGTGAAATTTTCGTCATCACTCTTTGGGTAGGAACAACATCATTATATTGTTGTTCACCTTTTTTTTAGTGGTATAGAATATTTATTGAGTTGTCTAATTAGCATGTGTTTTTTCCGTCTTATTTTGGATGACATTTTATCATCAACTGATATGAGAGCATGAGTGATTCAGATTGTAACCCTCAGATCATCAGATTATTACCGTTTTATATGTCAAATCTGTGGCAAATATTTTCTTGGTGTGTTGGCCACTTCATTTTGTGCATGAGGTATTTTTATAGAAGTTTTTAATTTGGAACCAGACCCCTGCTTGATGATTGTGGCTTTAATTTCCTCTGGGCCCAGATTTGCTTTGGAAAGCTTTCTTTGATTTCCAGGTGCTGGGCCTACTTTGGTTTCTGTTTCGAGGGCCACTGCCCCCAGGGTCATTTCCTCACTAGGAATGATTTACTTATGGACCATGGCCAGACTTTCCCAACTTCCTGACCAGCTGTTTGTGGGGGAAGGATGGAAAAAGAAGATGACTTAAGGTGGAGACAGGAGGGAATGGCTTTGTAGGCGCTAGAAATGGAAAGGGTAGGATATTAACAATCAGAAAACCAAACAGTTTGCACTCAGAATTTCTGGACCAGGAGGAGAGTGGAGTGGAACCAGAGTTCCCCAGACCCATTTTAAGCTGACTGATTCGTTCTCTCCAGTGACACAGCAATGATGATGGTTTAAAAACCCAATCCAGTTGGCTTAACATAAATAAATGTTTTATCACAGATACTGGCGACAACTCTTACTTTCTGGTGGCAATGTGGATTTACTTCTTTTCTTATAAATTTATTTGTTTGGAGGTTCTGGGTCCTAGTTGTGGCATACAGGATCTTTTTAGCTGCATCATGTTAGATCTAGTTCCCCAACCAAAGACTGAACCCAGGCCCCCTGCATTGGGAGCGCAAAGTCTTAGCCACTGGACCACCAGGGAAGTCCCTAGATTTACCTGTTTCCATCTTAACCATTAAATGTAAGGTCCGTGGAAGAAGAGGTTATGCTGGGTTTGTTTATCTCGCTTTTTTCAACTCTCTGATGTTCAGTAAATGTTGGAATATTTATCAGTTCAATGAATGAATGGCTGGAAAATATGCAGTTACTGGGGAGTGGAGGATATTTTGTAATGGCCTTGTGGTCAGATGGTTTTAAAATTGTCTCCACTGTCCTGCTTCATTAAACAGAGCAGTGCTTTTGGACTCTGCTTTTGGACATCATTAGTTCTTATACCCAAGGCTGGCACATGGTGATGCCTTGAGGAGCTGCTGGGGTTGGTAGTCAAGCTTGCCTCCTTACTTCATGGTCCTGCATCATGTTGCTTTTTCCGCTCTTGTACATGTTTTAAAGCAGTTCTCAGATCTCTTTTGGCTATTTTGGCATCATTTTCTTTTCTAAAAATCTGCCTCATCTTGGATTGATTTTGGATTGACTGGTGACTTTTGGTATTCTATACTCTCATTCTTGGGATGGTTCTTGGGATAAATATTAAAGTATCAGTACAGGTTTTCTTCTAGTACATAAATCCCTTTTAATGGAAGCCAAAAATATTTATTAAACCAAATTGCTAACAGGTGTCACTTGATTATTGAAGATAAATTATAATTGTTTACATTTAAAGATGAAATGAGACATCTTCTAAAGCCAACTTTCAATTATCTGGTGGGCAGGGTACGTGAAAAGAACCAGATGCATGTACTTCCATGTGTGGTCTTTTTGGTATAGTGACTGCTTTCTTGGTTAAATTACAGTTTTGATGTGTCTGTTAAATTCCTGTGTATAACACATAATAACCAGAGCTAAATGGTTCTTGTCAAACAGGAGCTGTGTACGGTGCTACCAAGATGGCACGAGGGAGTGGAGATGATGTTTAGATGTAGAAGCAGAGGACAGCATGGGGAAGGCAGGCAGCTGGATGGGGGAAGCCTGGTCTGCTTGATGAATTAGGGGATATAGGGACAGTGTGCCCCAGCTTCCGGGAGGATGAAGATCCAGGGAGCAGAAGGTCCCATCTGTGGCTTCCTCACGTGTCCAGGGAAAGAGTACTTTTGGCCAAGGATAGGTTTAAGGTAGAACTGGAAAGAGAAATAGATACTCTAGGAGCAAGCTAGAGGAAACAAACCAGAGATGGGACTAGTCTATACTCAGAGGATGTGAAAAGTGAGGTCCTTTGGAAGGGAAGCTGGGGCTTAAATGTGTCGGGTATTTGATCTGACCTAAACATCTGTCGAATCACTAAAGAAGTAACATAAACGATCACCAAAGGAACATGTCCCTGAAACCAGGGAGCGTTAAGATCTGAGTTTCATTTCTGTGTTTCTGAGTACCCAAATCTATGTTGTTGTTTAAATGCAAACAATATCAGCATCAAACCTTGTCTGACAACATAATATCCTCTCTGCACAAAGTCCAAGCTCTACCTACATGGGTTGCTTTTTCTAATCTCCATTTTGGGCCAGTTATTGGAGCATCATCATCATCAGTTGTAACATGATGAAATATAATGAAATGACCTAATTACAGTCTTTTCTCTCTTCTATTGCATTTTTAGAAAATAGGTCAAAGTCAATAGGATGCTTATATTCTCTTCCCACCTCCAGTTTATTAAGTGGAGTATTCATGTCCTGAATATACCAAATGAATGAAAAGGATGGTGTATGGGATAAAGATTAAAAAGATACCATTCGTGTTGCCATTTGTGTTATGTACATCTCTGTCCCATATGCTCTAACCACTCATCTTCCGATTCCAGAAAAGTTTGTGTGTGTGTGTTAATGACTTGTAAACATTCCTGCCTTCTGACAGGTGGAATGGCTGAAAAACGAGGAGCCCATAGACTCTGAGCAAGATGAGCACATCGACACCAGAGCAGACCACAACCTCATCATCCGGCAGGCGCGGCTCTCGGACTCCGGGAATTACACTTGCATGGCGGCCAACATCGTAGCCAAGAGGAGGAGCCTGTCGGCCACAGTGGTGGTTTACGGTAAGACCAGCCCAAAGGCCCGGAGTGGATAGAGGGGACAGAAATCAGAGGGGGAGAGGGAGGTGCATTTCCTTAGAACTTTCTGTGTGCAGCACTGAAGGGAATCCAGTGCGTTTCCCTTACAGCGCCGTCTGCTGCCTCACCCCATTGGCAGGTGACGCAGACCCCATAGCTGGGAATGTGTTTGCTCTTTCATCCAAGATTGGACTTCCGGGGGACAGTGAGTCACATTTTCAATCTATTTTCAAAAGAATCTTAACAGACGTTTCTTTGCCTCCATTGTGTTTACATTTGAAAAGAATTGAGGTGGGCAACTTCCGCTTCCCACTCTTCCCAAACCCAACATTCACCCCATCCTCCCCAGACCTGCTATTCGCAGTTCCTCTTCTGGTATATGAAATTCACCAAAAACAAACATGACTACTCGCTGAATAGCTCAGGTAATGCATAAGTGAAATTCCCAGCTATTGAAGTAAGCACTCCCTTCCACAATAGAAGAGCCCTTGGATTTATGTTTGAAGCACTGAAAGTTAATAGAAATTCAGATGCTGTTATTTTCTTCTTCTACTCTGGAATTTCAAGTGCTGTAGAGATATGTTGATGAGTTCTTCCTCTGGTTCATCATTTCCTTGCAAAGCAAATTCTCTGTATCCCTCCTATGGTCTACAGAAGAGTAGATCAAGAGATGGAGACTAGATCAGCCCCACGGTTGCCACACAGTGGGGCAGCCGGGGAGGGTCCCCGCTGGTCTCTTGGTCCCTGGATGCCCAACTCACAACACCTGGCAAGTGACTTGCACATAGTAGGCAATCAGTAAAAACTTCTTTCCTTTCTTTTTTTTTTTTTTTTTTCTTCTCCCCTCCCCATTTTTTTCTCTCAGTGAATGGAGGCTGGTCTTCCTGGACAGAGTGGTCAGCCTGCAATGTTCCCTGTGGGAGAGGATGGCAGAAACGTTCCCGGACCTGCACCAACCCAGCTCCTCTCAATGGTGGAGCCTTTTGTGAGGGAATGTCAGTGCAGAAAATAACCTGCACTGCTCTCTGTCCTGGTGAGATATGCGTAGATTTCCTTTTCCCTTCTCATCCACCACCACAACTGAGCTGGTGTGAAGCTTTCAGTAGAACCTACCTGCCCAAAGTCAACATCTTCCAGGTTCTTGGAATGGAGCGTTTGTCCAGAGTTCTGACGTGGAACTCATTGTAATAGCAAGAACATGGGTGAAATACCTCTATATGGGGGTATAGTTTTTCTCTTCATACTCAGATTACCCTAGACACTCAACATCAATAAGCCAAATGTTTTTATGTATTTTTATACTACCAGTGTTTGATTGGGTTAAGCCATACCCTTCTCTCCTTGGGTTCTCCCATTGTATAGTGTTCATCTGTATAATAGGGTGTAGTGAAATGCCTTTGAGCACAAAACAGGTACCAAATACTTGCCCTTTTATCATCAGTCACCATACAACTAACCTCATCAGGTTTGCCTTTGCATTTAAGACAATGCAATTGGCAGAGATTGCATCACAGCCATTTCTGTTTTGCATTTGGGCTATGATTGCCTTCCTTTGAATAGAGGCTTCATTTACCAAATATGGCTTTTATAAGTTCTTTTGCTCATCTTACTGGCTGTAACCCAATTTATACAATGAGAAATAGATGAGCCAGAAGCTGACTTTCTGAATGGGAAGCATATCCTCCCACTGAGAAACAAAATGAATCCTGGGTCTCACACGCATGATCGAACATTAAGTCCAAGGATGCTGGACCAGAGACTTGTGTCTTTAAAATTGCAAATATAGTGCCACTCAAAGCTAAGGCGAGGCTTTTGCCTGTGCTTGGAGTTTCATTTTGAATTTGTATTCAGTACACATTTATTGAGTGCTTACTATGTGCGGGTACTATGCAAGATACATTTACACAATGTCCTTTAGTTTTGTGTTGTGAGTTTTATGATTCCCCAGTTGACAGAAATGGAAAAGACAGGCTAAGTGCTTGCTTAGGGTGGCTCAGCCAAAAAGTTGACAGAACTAAGACAAGGATTCAGATATTTTGATTCAAATTTAGTATTTTTATTTTACCCTACACTGGGCTTCCCAGGTGGTTCAGTGGTAGAGAATCTGTCTGCCGATGCAGAAGACACAGGTTCAATCCCTGGGTCAGGAAGATCCCCTGGAGAAGGAAATGGCAACCCACTCCAGTATTCTTGCCTGGGAAATCTCATGGACAGAGGAGCCTGGTGGGCTACAGTCCGTGGGGTCGCAAAGAGTCAGGCGCAACTGGGTGGCTGAGCATGCACATGCACTTGACTAGTCGCTCTGGATTAAAAGTGGCAATATCTTCAATAACCCACATAAGCATGGTTGGCCTATTCCTAGGAGGTAGTGGAACAATTGCTTCCAACAGCTGCCATAATCTCTAGGGTTGTTTTTTAGTGAAATTAAGTTCAGTTTGTTCGTTTCTACATACAGCAGCAATCCATGACCCAAGAAATTCTATTTATGTAAGTCTTGGTATCTTGGGGCTTGGCTGACCTGTTTTAGTTTAACACTATCAATATATATGGGTTTAACTTTTTATTATTAAGGGGTTTTTAGGACTTAAAGAACATTTATTCTACTTTCTGTTCTAAACTACCAACCCGTAAGGAAGTAGTGATTACCAGTGGTTCTTGCACAGAGTGTATCTGTCCATCTAAGATGCACTTGGGCATAAAACACGGGGAAAGAATGGATAATGACATGATTAGCTAACCTGAGGGCATGGGTAATTCACATGTTTGCCCAAATTCAGTAATTGGTCTCATCCTGCAATAGCGAGAGAATTATACCACTGCTGTTGTTCACCTGTCTCTTTAGGAAAGAAACCATGGAGAGAAGATAAACGGATATATTATTTTGTTTCTGTGGTAGTGGTGATTTCTTTGAAATCCAGCTCTAAGAACCACAGTGGCCTTGGGGTGAATCTCCTGACAGCTGTCAGATGAAGCCTAATGATGGCTCCTTCTGTTTCCCTTTGAAGTGGACGGGAGCTGGGAAGTGTGGAGTGAGTGGTCAGTCTGCAGCCCAGAATGCGAGCATCTGCGGATCCGAGAATGCACAGCCCCCGCCCCGAGAAACGGGGGCAAATTCTGCGAAGGTCTAAGCCAGGAATCCGAGAACTGCACAGACGGCCTTTGCATCCTAGGTAAGACCTTACGGTACACATCTTCTGTGTCTGTCCATCATAGGAAAAGATGCTATGATAACGCCAGGACCATTGATTCAGTGAAACCAGTTCGCAGAAAACAAAATCCCCCAGAGCAAAAATAAAATGGGTGGAAAGTGTCAAAGAGCAGACAAATAGGCCATTTTAAACATCGTTACCGCTGCCAGTTCCACCCATGCGTGTATTTACTGTTAGCGTAACTAGATATGCTTGGGAGAGAAATGATGCAGGCAAATGTGTTAGACTTTGGGGCTTAGCAGTTCTTCTCTTATAGGGGCCAGTGTTTTTAGGTTTGGTGAAATTCTGATCTGGATCAATGTAGGCTTATATTTCTCCAAAGAATTTTACCAGACTCTAAAGCATTTTGTAATCCTCAGAGACCCTGGGACATGCATTGTGACCAAGGAATGTGCGTTGTGACTGTTACCTTACAGATGGGGGAAAATACGACACTGAGGAGGTGGCTGGGTTTGTCTCAAGTTGGTCTGGCGTGGCCCAGATTAGAATGCCCATTTCAGAACTTCCAAGACTGTGTTATTCCTGAGGTTATGTTATAACTTCTTCAGGTGACTGTCTGCCTGAGTATAAAACCATGGGAGGATTAAATAGAACCACACAGAGGTGAGTTTTAATTTGGTGGTGTCCCTTACTAGCTTTGTGATCTAGGGTAAGTCACTCAACTGCTTAACGTCTCTGAATTGTACCAAGAGTACCCAAAAAGTGCCTATTTTTGGTTATTGTCTGGGCCCAATAGTAAAAGAATATATTTTGAATATTTCATGGCACAGAATAGGTGCTCGAAAAATAGCAATCCCTTCTCCGCTTGCCCACTCAGATGTGCTAAGGGTATATTGATTTTTCTTAGATCCTTCAAAAACAGGAGATTCGAGGCGTACCTATTCTTTAGAACTAGGTTGCCTTCTAGGATGATATCCAGCAGAAAATAGTGTAGTTCAATAATTTGTCATCTTTTCAGGAATATATGTCACTTTTTAGTTAGGAAGATTATAGTATGAAGGAGGCATCTAAGTTGTATTTATCTTTCTGTGTCAATATGACTAGCTATGCTTGAAAGCAAGGCTCTACAAACAGTTATATTTTCAAAATAAGTCGAAATGGTTAATGCATTAGTGAAAATGTTCAATACATTGAAACAAGTGCTACCTCATAGCCCATAATTCCTTTATTTGCTCAGTTCAAGTACTGAGTAATCTGCATGCGTCAGACAGAATACAAAGGTCTATAATTAAAGAGAACCAAGTCTTGGGCTTCCCTGTTGGCCCAGATGGTAAAGAATCTGCCTACAATGCAGAAGACCTGGGTTCAGTCCCTGGGTCGGGAAGATCCCCTGGGGAAGGGAATGACTACTCCCTATAGTATTCTTGCCTGGAGAATCCCATGGACGGAGGAGCCTGGCAGGCTGCAGTCTGTAGGGTTGCAAAGATTCAGAGAAGACTAATCGACTAACACTTTGACTTTTCACCCACCAGTCTCAGTGGTGAAAGTAAATATACCGTCGCAGTCAAGATAGACAACGTTTCCATTCATCCCCAAAGTTTGCTTGCAGTCTTTTGCAGTCATTTCTTTTCCCCTACCCCTAACCACCACTTTTCTGCTTTCTTTCAGTTGTCATAATGCGTTTGACATTCCTTCATTCTGCTACACCTATCAGTAATTAATTTTTTATTTTTGTTAAGTAGTGTTCCATTTTACGGATCTACCGCAATGTGTTTATCCTTTCACCAGGTGATAGACACAGGATTGTTTTCATTTGGGGGTGCTTATGAACAAAGCTGCTATGAACCCTTGTGTACAGACCTTGTGTGGACATTTATTTTCATTTCTTTTGGGTAAATGCCTAGAAATGGGATTAGTGGTCCATATGGTGATTAGATATTTGATGGTATAAGAAACTTTCTGAAATAACTGTGATCATTTAAATTTTTACCACTAGGATGTAACTGTGCTGGTTGTTCCACATCTTTGCCAACACTTACTATTGGTCATTTTAAATTAAGTCATTCTAATGAGTTTGTAGATTTTTTTTTTTATTGTAACTTGCACTTCCATAACGGCTAATGATATTGAGCAAATTTTCATTTGTTAATTGGTCATTCATCTGTGTTTGTTGATGAAATGTCTATTCCATTCTTTTCAAATATAAGGAGACAATACAAACTCATTAGCAAGAGGTTTAAGGAAATGTGTTTCTGGCTACCTTGACCACCACCAGATATATCTGAAATATACCTTTAAGTTGTGACTATTTCTTGACATGTTTCTTAACATTGATTTAGGACTATAGTTAAGACAATAATTTCATATATCTTCTAAAAAGTCCTTGAGGGTGTAACTATGTGGCTTACTAGTTTAGATGATCATTAGACACTTTTGAAATATTAGAAATAAAAAACAGAAATAAGAGAATACTGATTGAAGTATTATAGTACTATTATAGTACATAGTAATCACCTTCCCTGCCTGCCTGCTCAGGTGCTTCAGTGGTGTCCAACTCTTTGCGATCCCATGGACTGCAACCCCACCAGGCTCCTGTCCTAGAATCCTGTCCATGGGATTCTCCGGGCAAGAGTACTGGAGAGGGTTCCATGCCTCCCTCCAGGGAATCTTCCCAACCCAGGGATCAAACCTGCATCTCTTATGTCTCCTGCATCAGCAGACGGGCTCTTTACCACTAGCACCATCTAACAACCACCCGTTGGACTTGAGCTTAGGGAAAATTCTATGAATGTCAAGCTTCAACCTTAGTTGACTGAAAATTAAGAGTTACTGATTGAAGACAGGCAATGGTTAGCTCCAAATGTGAGAAAAAATTATCAAATATGTGAATATTATTTATTTGCACTTGTATTGTTAGTTGAGTAAGAGGGTACTGACCAGTCCAGACCCCAGCTTTAAAATCTGAGATATTGTATTCACCAGGGTTCTCTAGAGAAACAGAACCAATATGATACATATATAAGAAACAGGATATACACACACATATATATAAAGAGATTCTTTATAAGAAATTGGCTCATATTATTATAGAAGCTGGCAAATCCAGAGTCTGTAGAACCAGTGTCCCAGTTCAGAAACTGTCAGGCAGGAGGAGAGTCTCTTACCTGGGAAGCATCAGGCATTCAAATGGTTAGATGTGGCCCACCCACAGTGTGGAGGGCAATTTGCTTTTTTCAGCCTATTGTAACGTTGGTCTCATCTGAAAACACCCTCATAGACTAATATTTGACCAAATATTTGGGTACCTGATGGCCTGGTCAGATTGACACATGAAATTAACCATCCCAGATGCATATGTACTTGTGAAGTTCCAAAGCCTAGCTCCTTCCTTTTAAAGGCATCAAATCAAGGTTCAGGCAGTTACTTTGTTACTGAGTGAAACCCTCCTATGAACCTTGACCATGTGTGGTTTTCTGTCTCACATGTGCAATTTAGTGAGTATTCTGTTTCCATTTTCCAGTAGTGGAAATAGAATGAGCAGAACAGTGAGCTTTACAATATGCTCAGCATTAAAGGTTGAGAGCTTTGTTAAATCCCCTCATGAGTTTAAAACACTATGTAAGCCTTTTCTCTGTGTTCAATCTCTTCATTCCCCTATTCCCTTTTCTACTTAAGAATGGGTTTGTCTAGCATTCTTTGCCTCTGTCGTATGCATATGAAGATGTCTGTCAAACATGATCAGAGACTCTTGATGGTTACAATGACTAAGCTTTTTGATGGAAAAATTGAAGCCTGTGAAATCATAGACGTGAATGAGATGTATTTATACATCAGTGGGAAAGGAGTGTGTTTCTAGGAGCCCAACACCAGGATACAGTCTGCCCTTTAAGAGACAGAGTGGGTCCCATGTCAGCAAAGATGAAGCGCATTTGACTGTGTCTGCAGGAATCAATGAACACAGTCTGGCTAGATGGTGCCAGCATTACTCTCTGCTTCTGGCTGGTACTCTGCTGAAGTGTTCTTGGTGAAACTAGCTGTGCTCTCGGGATGGAGATCCAATGAAGGCTAGGTTTGATTAAAATAACATTTGGCAACAGCTTTATGGAGCAGTCACTTTGTGAAAGATCTGGGTCATGTTCCAATTGGGGAATTTCCTTCATTTGATTTTTTTTTTCCCCTTTATGCCAGACATGACCCTGAAGCAAGTCCTCAATTCCCCAACTTCTCTTGGCAGTTTCACAGTGACATTGCTTGGCTCTTGGATGACCTACAATTCTTTAATTTTTACTTAGCTCTCAACAAAGCATCTGGATTTCCTTTGTTGTCCCTGAGGGCTGCATTTCTCCTAGAGATGGAGCTGCCAGCTCTGAACGATCGCTTTAATATTGGGGTATGATTGTTGCTTGGTCAGTTGTGACTGAAGCACAGGACCTTAGTGTTATGCTAGCACAGATGGCCACACCTAAATGCTCCCAACAAGGAAATAAATGCCCCAAGACTGGTGAGGTTAGGCGATTGATGCCAATAGCAGTGAGTGTGAGGTTCCAAATTGCAAGCATAAACTAAACATCCAGTGAGTGCCTTTGTGCTGGAACTGTTCTTTTCCAGGAAGACAATTATGTGGAATGCCTGTCGAGAGATGGGAACTTGTGGATGCCTGTTTTCTAATCTTTAACCTCAGAATCAGGTAGCTTTCTAACTGCTGTCTTTTCCACTTGCTGAACTTAGCTACCTCTGTGCTTGAAGGATCACTGAAATGTACATGTAAGTGACATGTGCATTTCCTCATTGGCAGAAACAGTAGGGTGAACATGGTGGGGTGCTTAGTTTGAATCTGGGAAGTAAAGGGAACCTGTTCCCCGCACTTTTTATTTCAGCAGATAGAAAACTAAAGGCTTTGCCTTCAGAGGATTAAGTGAATTCGCGTCAGACAGGATTAGTACCCAGATGGGCAGTGATGATGAAGCCAGAGAAATTTCACAGGGTCCTGAAAGAGAAGCTTCGTGGCTGAGCTACCTAAT